GCAGTAATTCATCAAGGAAAAATTGTAGAGAGAGGTATAGTCATGAAATATTTTTATTGGATACAGCAACTCTATTTTGTAAGCACCAATTTGGTCTTCTTCTGGTAGATCTGTTTTGTGAGAAGATCCTTATTACTTAACATTGTCAATTGATCAGGATCACACTCTGAACTAATCAAGGATCCTGATGGAGCATACAGCCAGCTAACAAGATTGCAAGAAGTGAAACAAGATTCAGAACAGAAAGCCTTAAATGATGAAGAAAAACCGGAAATTACAGTAGATTTTCATGGGCAACCAGTCCAACACATGTCCTCCCAACGATCTATAAGTCGGGGATCATCTGGTGCAGGAAATAGCAGCCATGGTTCATTCTCAGCTTCCTTTGTTTTGCCCAGTGGATATGTCCAGGAAACTACATATGTTGTATCCAATAAACCTTCTCCGCCATCATCACGACGGTTACAAGAAGTCTCACTATGGCGCCTAGCTTATCTCAATAAACCGGAGCTCCCAGTGCTACTTCTTGGTGTTATATCAGCGGTAGTGAGTGGTGTAATATTTCCGGTTTTTGGTCTATTCATTTCCTCTGTGATAAAAATATTCTTTGAGCAACCAAGTGAACTTCGAAGGGGTTCAAGGTTTTGGGCGTTGATGTATGTTATCCTTGGGGTGATATCATTAGTGTCAATTCCATCACAGACATACTTCTTTTCCGTGGCTGGCTGTAGACTAATTAAAAGGATTCGATCATTGTGCTTCAAAAATGTGGTTTGCATGGAGATCAGTTGGTTTGATGATCCTGAACACACAAGTGGTACAATAGGTGCGAGGCTTTCTTCTGATGCAGCAATGGTCCGTGGACTGGTCGGGGACACGCTTGCCTTGCTCATGCAGAACACTGCAACAGCAATTGCTGGGTTGGGTATTGCTTTCACAGCGAACTGGCAGTTGGCTCTTATAATCCTCAGTCTGGTGCCTCTCATAGGTGTTAGCGGATGGGCTCAAATGCAGTTCATTAAAGGATTCAGTGCGGATGCAAAGGTTTTCTTTGGGAGCTCATTCTCTTTAATTCTTTTAAGGCTAAAGCATTCCTTAAAGTTAAAACAACAACACACAATTTGGAAATTTTCTGTGAAAACATGCAGTCAACTAGTCATTCCTTCCAATCAGATATTTTCACTATCTAATATATCATTCAAATATTTCTGACATTTATTAACATCAATATTTTTTTTTTTAAAGAAGGTAAGGATAATTTCATTAAATAGAGAAAGTATGATAGATATACCAGTATCAGTGTTAGCTATTCTAAATACGTACAGTTTCTATATATCTAAATCTGAATAAGAAACCTTCTACTTAATTTTCTCTTACCTGAAACTTAGTGTTGTTCTAATCATCTTAACTTCTTCCTGTAATGTCAGGTTCATTAGTTTTTGACTAAATAAATTCAATTGGTTGCAGATGATGTATGAGGAAGCAAGTCAAGTTGCTAATGATGCAGTTGGGAGTATTAGAACAGTTGCTTCCTTCTGTGCAGAAGAGAAGGTGCTACAACTGTATAAAAGAAAATGCCAAGGCCCAACAAGTGCAGGGATAAAACAAGGTTTGATTGGTGGGTTTGGGTTTGGTCTGGCCCTTTTCTTGATGTTCAGTATTTATGCAGCCAGCTTCTATGTTGGAGCAAAGTTCGTTGAAGATGGAAAAACAACATTCTGGAATGTCTTTCGTGTAAGTATTCTTGCCATTTCTGCCAAGTTATTCATGAACTCCTTAGACTTCTCAAAAAGGAATGAAGAAAACAAAATTCGCCACATAGTGGTATTCCACAGACTGTACAATTAAAATTATGTCTCAGTTGAGAGTAGAATAGTTCCTAACCTTATGGTCTTTTATTATGTCTTTGTCACTCTTGGCAGGTTTTCTTTGCTCTCACCATGACAGCTGTTGGAATTTCTCAATCAAGCTCCTGGTTACCTGATACTGCTAAAGCCAAGACATCCACTGCTTCCATATTTGAAATTCTTGACCGGAAGTCAAAGGTAGATCCAAATGACAGGTCCGGAATAACATTGGAATGTGAAAGGAGAGATTGAGTTTAGGCACATCAGCTTCAAGTATCCAACAAGGCCCGATGTTCAGATTTTCCATGACCTTTGCTTGGCTATTCATTCCAATAAGGTTAAATCTTGTTACTGTCTTGTGATTTATTTTCAGTTCTATGTAAAACAGGATGAGTTTTGCACAGGTTACATGATTGCATTGATCTTGAATTACCAAAAATAACTTTTGAAATCTCAATTATCAGACTGTTGCTCTTGTTGGAGAAAGTGGGTGTGGGAAATCAACGGTGATCTCATTGTTGCAGAGGTTTTATGACCCTGATTCAGGTCAGATTACACTAGATGGAATCGAAATTGAAAAGTTCCAGTTGAAGTGGTTAAGGCAGCAAATGGGTCTAGTGGGCCAAGAACCTGTCTTGTTCAATGGCACAATCCGATCGAATATTGCATATGGAAAGAAAGGAAATGCAACTGAGGCTGAGTTTGTAGCTGCAGCAGAGTTGGCTAATGCACACAAGTTCATCAGTGGATTTTGTTGAAATTGTCATTATCTCTGTTCATACATGAGTGCATGAATACCAAGGATGGTGCTTATGCATCCTTAGTAGCACTTTACATGAGTGCATCTATATGAGCTTGTGTTTTGTCATTTCACATTTTCTGGTAGTAATGGCTTGGTCTGCTCTTGTTTCTTAAGTCTATAACAAGTAAACAAAAGGGAGCTGAAGAGAAAAACACATTTATTGCTGTTTGGCAGCATGTTCCAGCATATGCAACAAGTGCCAAAATTAACAGCTGGCTGGGTCATAATTCATTGGAGAAGAAACAACTGGAATTACTCTTTATCCATTGTAAATATACTCTGTATATGTACAATACTTAAGTTAGCAAATTATGTTTGCATTTTGCAATGTCTTAATTAGGAGTGAAATGAATGTTCCCTTTTGATTGAATACCACCTTATCTATGTTGAATAATTAACTTCCCAAGGTTAGAAGTTGGGATTAAGGCTGAGTTGAGAATCCCTCACGGTTAAAATGCAGGGAATTAAAGTTTACACTGTAACATAGATGATCAACTTGCATTGAAAATTGGACTACTTGAAGCCTTCTATCTATATTCTGTATGTTTTCTTCAAATGGTAAAATTTGTTAGAGAATGAGGGTGAGGGTGACAAACAGTGATATCATTGTTGCAGAGATTTTCAGATCCCAGATCAAATCACATTACTCTAGGTTCTAGAATTTATACGGAGTAAGATTCAAAAGTTTCAGTTGAAATGGTTGAGAGAAAAAGAAGGGTTTTTGTGAGCCAGGAACTTGTGTTTTTTAGTGACTTCATTGGAGAAAACACTGCATAAGAAAATGCTAGATAGACTTGGTATATGCTCACAATTTCCTTAGATGGTGTTCAACTTTGAACATGTTAGTACAATAACCCTAATGATACCTGTTTATTTTCCCAAAACAGAAAATACAGCAGTGTGATAAAATTTGATTCTATGCAGCTTGCATTGACCCTCAAGCAATGTCAAAACAAAACCCTTGGCCTCCAAAAATGGGGTTGTATCAATAACTTTCAGTTACATGGAGTAAGATAGTAGAAATATAAATTGCCAAATGGCGGAATACTTGGACTTCCATATTCTTTGGTAGACTGTCATCATGTAAATTTGGGGGAAGCTCAAAATTATATGGATGGAGTGGATTTGCAATGTAGCTCCTCTACCTATGCTATGACCATATCTGATATCTCTCTCTATTAAGCTTGACGGCCCACAATAATCGTGTGATAAAATGAATTGGGACCAACCATTGCATACACATTAATCTGGTATGTATTAATAGGTTTTAAGGATTATATTGGTGAAAACCGGAAAGAGTCTTGTATGAGTGAAAGGCTTCATCTGCATCACTCTTAATAGGCCTGGGTCCTGTCCCCATATAATTGTTTTGTTCGCCCACGCCCACCCCCACCCAAACCAAATATATCAACTTCCCGTCAGTCACCATTCAGTCTACTCTACTTTCAGTACTACAAGGAAGAAAGTGTATGTGAAGAATCTCTTTTGTTATAGCTAGTGCAGTGGTAACTGGTAAGTGGTCAATGTGTTTACCACCAGGCACTACACTAGGCACTAGCTAATAGCTATTTCTAAAGTAAGAGAAAGTATATTTATATATGAATATGATATCTGATTTCTCAAGCTAAAATTAAAGAGTAAAAGAAGAAGCGGTGTATGATTTACCCATGCTATGTTTTGTTGTTTCTATTGTTTTCTGTGTCAGCTATGTATGTTTGAAGTTGGATTAGATGATGATGATGAGTTTGGCAATGATACTGACGTTTGCGATGCACGTATTCTCTTCCATGTGAGGGATTTGGAATTTTTGTCTTGTATCCCAAGAACAACTGCTAATAAGGTTAGTTGCACTTCGTCTCTCTACCACTAGTCTACTCTATATTTATCACCTCGATCGCCGGCCGGTGTGATATTGCTTCTAGCTATTATCCTATTCCTATGAGTGACGAGGACGTGGACGGAGGCATCTCTTCTTGCTCGATCTTGGCCTGAGCAACTAACTAACTAACGATCAAACAGTTAAGATGGGCGAGGGCGAGGGCGACCTCCGACGGCCCCATCTGAAATCTGATGATGGATGATCGAGCTTTCACACAATCAATCAACCAAAACGTCCAAAACCCCATTTTGATATACAAATCAAATGGCATAATAGCTAGTATGTGAAATCATATGAGACGGGAATGAATTATGACCACACAATCCCATTCCCATGTTTTCATGACACTGGGTTCCACATAGGCATAGTTGTTACGTTAATATAGCAACTATATATAGTATGACTCGTTGGTATTTGATTTCTCACTGTTTTCTGTTCATGACAGGACAGTTGGGCGATTGCATGCAAAATAAAATGAATAATGATAAGTGACACTGCCACCAATTAATTGTCCAAACTCCAAACCAACACCAAGGCAGTGAGGTGATCAGGCAGGACCCACGACTCAGGAGCAGGTGCCCGATTGAACAAATAGCTTCCTCCACAGACCACAGGAGTTTAGGCGCAGTTGGTCAACCCCAATAATCCCATCACCTCCTCTATCTCTTCACTGTTCTGCTTTCACTACATTCCCCATTTTTGTCGTCACAAGTCAAAGCCACCATCTTTTTCCTCACTACAACTCTGCAACAGCAACTTGAATTTTTTTTTTCTCATAAAATGCTGCTTCTAACAAAAGAATCGTCCTTAAATTTTGTGTTCCATATATTAACTTTCTTTCTGTTTGCAGAGAGACTCTGATGCGTTGAAGCAAAGGATATAGAAGCTAGCCATGAAGCATGAACTTTCAACAACTATAACAACTGAAGCCAAGCCCAGCTTCTCGCAACCCACAACACCATACCGCCTTACAACCTCTTCAAAAGCAAAGCACTCCCCAACATCAGCTGTTTCTACTAGGCTCTCACCTGGCCTGAAACCGAGGCCAGGGTCAGCTCCTCCCTACCCAAATTACAATGCCCAAAAGGTTCGGAGATCTCTCGGCCTCAACAAGCAAAAATCTGGTGAGCATGTTGCAGGACTTGAAAAGGGTAGAGAAGCAGATGATGTCGGAATTGTTGGTCGGTCTCTAGACCGGCCGGTTTTTGAACAATTCGCCAAGCCACGCCGACGCATTGATCTCAGTGTCACTGTCAAGAGAGTTGAAGATGATCCTGATGGAAAGAAAAAGGAACTGCAAGAGAAGCTCCTTGCGAGTGAGAATTTGGTTAAGGACTTGCAGTCTGAGATATCAGCTCTGAAGAACCACTTGGAGAAATTGCAGACCTTGAATTTGGAGCTTGAGTCGCAGAATAGGCAGTATGCCAAGGATCTTATCGCTGCTGAAGAGAAGATTTCAGCTTTTTCAAGTGGTGACAAGGTACAAATTAAACACCTATGCTGATTGTTTTCACTTTATTCATGTAAAATACCATAGGGGTGGATGGCATGCTCTTCTCTTATCCATGCACTTTAGGCCAAATTTCAGTCTTCTGAAATTTGTCATACCCATTTCCGAGTTGACAGTAAATTTAATTAGGTTATCATGAGTCTTATTAGAGGAGTTTTCAAAGATTGTATGCTTAATTGAACCATAGAGGTGTGGAGTTGCATCTCTCTGTGCTATTCTAGATAGGTTTAACTGGTTGCAAGTGAACAATCTCCTTGGTGTCAAAGGGGAGAACCTTCTTTCATAAGGGATGAAATATCTATTTTGAGCATGGAATACTTCTCATAATTATCTAAGTTGATGGCTTCACAAGCCAGTTTAAATCCAGACCTCCACCATATGAACTCTTTTTCTATCCTGATGTTTTTCATTTTATTAAAACTATTTCTAGTTCTGGTTGAAGAAAGAATTCATTGAAGAAAAAGTCCAGATCCCTCAGTTTAAAGATGTTCAGAAACTCATTGCCAATAAGTTAGAACATTTTAGTGTAAAGAAGGCCATCAAAGAAGGGAATCCGGATAAAACACCATCTGCAATGTTATTGCATACTGTAACTGAAGCTTTAAATGTGCCACAAAAATCTCTGGTAAATTTTGTCCCCTTGCCTCCAACACTTCCCGTGCAACAAGAAGTTCTTCTGAAATCCGTCCCTCCACCTCCACCTCCACCTCCACCACATATGCTAGCAAGAACAGGTAGCACACAAAAAGCTCCAGAAATTGTGGAATTCTATCACTCATTAACAAAACGTGAGGGGAAGAAGGATACAGTACCTGGTAATCGCAGTAATTATGCAGTCAACAATGCACATAGCAGCATAGTTGGAGAAATTCAAAATCGTTCAGCTCATTTGTTAGCAGTAAGCATCTAAAATCCTAGTATTGGTTTTCTTTTCTTTCTTGTACTACTGGTTTCTGGAAGTGTTTGGGCTGTTAATAACCAACTCCTACTGCAGATAAAAGCAGATGTGGAAACAAAAGGAGAATTCATCAAATTTCTTATTCAGAAAGTTCAGGAGGCTTCATATACAGATATAGAGGACAACCTAAAATTTGTTGATTGGCTTGATGGTGAACTCTCTTCACTGGTAATGTTGAAAACTTTGCCAAAAATAATAACTTGGTTAAAATATTAAAGACAGAGCAGCCTTTTTTTAAATTTCCCAAAAGACAGAAACCTGAAATGAAGCTAGAGCCAATATAGGATGGTTTTTTTTTTTTTTTTTTTTTTTTTAATTTATGTTGCATGATACTAGAAAACTAGATAGTCATAATGGCTCTTGGTAAAATAGCGTTCACTGTAAAGAGGGGCTCTTCCCCTGTTTTTTTCGTAATGCAATATTATACAACTTATCAAAAACGTTTAAAAAAAACAGAAGAAAAAGCATTTCATTGAAGCATCATTGAGGATTGGTGGTGCCATCTTAACAATGCCGGTATCTGCATCAGTATACAAATGGTAAGCTGGCCCTTGGTTTTAACTTTCAATTGGTCTAAATGCTTCAAACCACCAGACCACCATTTCTTTTGATATATTACAAGTTGGAATGTAGAATCAACCATCACCAACGTTTTTATTAATCCATCTCCATATTTAAGGTTTACTTTTCTAAATGGAATCATTATGTCTTGTTTCGGTATCAAGAATCATGGTATATTAGTGCCTGCCTGGCTGCCTGAATATGTTTTCAATTAATACCATACAGTGTATTCAAACACTTGAAATAGGAGACATGGTATCTGGTAGACTGGTACAAATACTCTAAGCCTCTAATTCTGGGTTAGTTGATTGATTAGGGGAAAATGATAAACCATGTGTGTTTGGAGAATCTCAGTGACACAACCATGCTATAACCTTACTTTATCCTAAGCTATAACCCCATTAATTTCTCCAATGAGGAAGCAGCCAGTGCAGTTCTGAGGAAACTGCTGCCAGATGCTAATTCTCCTGCAGCTGGATCATCCTTGGTTGAAAGAGTTAACATGAGGAACATTAAAATATATAAAAACTTAGTCTTTAATTGGTGCATTGTTATTCCATCTCATGGAAATTTTCCAATTTACTTTTAATTTATCTATGTTACTTACTGCCCCCTCCATTCATCCTGTGTTTGTATAGGTTGATGAGAGGGCTGTGCTGAAGCACTTCAACTGGCCTGAGAGGAAAGCTGATGCCATGCGTGAATCTGCTGTTGAATACCGTGATCTTAAAATATTAGAGAGTGAACTTTCTTCCTATAAGGATGACAACAAAGTGCCTTGTGAAACTGCCTTGAAGAAGATGGGTAGTTTACTAGATAGGTATGTACTATGTAGCAGGACAGAAAGTCTTCTTTTGCTTTCTTTGTTATTAAAAACATAGGAGTTTCCTTGTTGAGAGAAATCTTATATTTCCTGTGACATCTCATGGTGCAAGGTCGGAGCGGAGCATACAGAAGTTGATTAAACTGAGAGACTCAGCCATGCTTTCCTACCGGGATTGTAAAGTCCCAACTGATTGGATGCATGATTCAGGAATGATCAGTAAGGCATGTTGTGATTCAGGTTTTTGACTTTCATAGAGCAATTATTATTGCTATCAGATACAGTAGAGAAAACCTTTTGAAAATTTTAGTTCGCATAATTGATATAAAAGGGACACAATTTGTCCATAATGGACTCTGGATTCTGGAAGACATCCAGAGAAGGTACACTTCTACTTTGGCAACCCACATAGTCATAGCCAATACCAGCATCTAGGAGTACTGCAATCGAATCAAGCTTTAGTCAAACATTTTGGGCTCAAGTTTGATTAGGCTCACTTCAAGTGTGATGCTAACCGAGTTCGAATCTCAAGGTAAGTTCAATTAGTTATTCGAACTCAAATTTGACTAATAAAATGTTTGGCTCAAAAGCTCATGAGGCTGGCTTAACTAATATATAAATTATATATTAAAAATATTATACATAAAATATAAAAATATATTAGTTTTTCAAGCTTTCAAGCCAACTTATTGAATATTTGGTCAAGGATTTTGAAATAAAATGTGATTGTATCAAAGTATACTACTAGTGTACAAGTTGAAAACTCTGTAATATCAAACTATATACATTGATTAAAAATGGGATGAAATTACTTCTCTCTCTATATATGCTTGGGTGTATATGTATGTGTATTCTAAGAAACAGAAGATAATATTACTATTTACAATATGATTCTCATTTGGTACAATTCAACTTTCTCTATGATTTATGATACAACTATGGTTTTTAAAACATTACATGTGAACACTGATCACAAACTGTTTTGTCTTTTTCCTTTGGATTGATCATATTGATTTATCTTTGTATTTTATTTTTATGATCGAAAGTTTATATTGACATCAATGTTGTTTCATGACATACTAATGTATGTTGAATTTCTGTCATTTGGCATTTTCCTTTTCGATGATAATGTTACAGTTTGGTACTCTTCAACTTATCTTAGGTTCTTATGCAGATAAAGAAGGCTGCTATTAAACTGGCCAAAATTTACATGAAGAGAGTGTCAATGGAGCTTGAATCAATCCAAAATTCAGAGAAGGAATCCACACAGGAAGCTCTGCTACTTAAGGGTGTGCGTTTTGCATATAGGACCCACCAGGTGACTCATGAATCCTTTGTTTGATTTTCCTATACAGTGACTGAAGATTCCAAGAATATCCAGTAATCCATAATTACTAACTGTAAATCGAAAGCAATGTTTCAAAACAAGACTGGATCATCTGTCATTGTCAAAAACTGGAATGGGACCCAATCTGTTTCGGGGAACTGGCCAGATTTGCAGATTTTTAGATTAGACTGCTCATTTGAACCCAGAAAATGGGAAACAGACACTTATATAAACTGCCATTTTGAACCCAACAAATGAGAAACATGCACTTTTCTGGCTAATATTCAACTCAGTTCCTGTAGGGCAAACAGGAGAATCTTGTAGCTTAGGAATCAATATGGTGCAGATTCAGGGGATAGTACATTATTAAGGCTTTGCTTCCTGCTTTTATTTAAGCTTTCTGCAAAAGAATGAAAGATCCCCTCAGTTAACATTTAACAAGGATTTAGAAGACTACCAAGGTTTTGAAGTCAACCTTAGGTAGATATTGTAATGAAATTGAGTTACCTCTTTAGTTGAAACCAAATCTTGATAGGTGAACTTGGTTAAATTCTTTTTTCATTATGTGCATCCAAATGACGGTTGTATCATGTGTACTTACAATTTTAATTTACTGATCTGCTATCAACTTGTGCAGTTTGCTGGAGGACTTGATTCAGAAGAAATAATGTGTGCTTTTGAAGAAATAAGGCGACGTGTTCCAACACATATGAGAGGGTCTAGGGAATTGCTTACAGGCATAACATCATGATAAAACCCTGAGGCCTTTGTTTAACCATGGAAAGTAGGATGGGAATTAGAGAGCAAGAGTTGCTTGTTTATTTATAGTAAATATTTTTTCAATAGTTATATTAGAAAACAAGGCTTTTTTTCCTTATGCATTGTTAATATTACATGTAAACCGTTTGAAAGGTGTAAACCATAGAAAGAGATGATCCATCAATGGAAACCTTTTGCTTGTATGTCCATGGTAGATCACAAACCATATCATGTTGTGGTATGCTGTATTTAACTATTTATAGTTTTGGAGGGAGGATTTAAAATACATGAATCAACCATTTGGAGGGAAGATGTTATATTATAATATTTATATATAGAATACATGTATTTAAATATATGAATTGGGCTAAGCCTAAATACAAAACCAAAGCCCAAACATGGAATTTCCGAATCGGACTGGGTCCAGATGATCACCCATTCTTAACAGGAATGCTGGTAATTTCCTGTTCTCCTCCCCTCCCTCCCCACCCACCTACAGGAGTCCTATTCTCAAAAGACAAGGTCTTTGGACTCTAAGTTTTGATGGAAATGCTTCAGGCAACCCTGGTGCTACTGGCATAGGAGGAGTTCTAAGGAATGAAAATGGGAACAATCTGCTGGGTGTACAATGGGCCAATAGGCATAGCAGACTCTACCAAGGCAGAAGTGATGGCTGCACTTACAGGGATCAGAATGATTTAACAGATTTGGTATTCAGAACCTCTCCATAGAAGGCGATTCAGCCAACACCATAAAATGGGTAGGAAAGCAAGAGACCGGGCCGTGGAGACTCGGTCATTTTCTGACGGAGGCAAGGGATTTACTGACTGCTTCTAATGCAAACCTGATTTGGATTCCAATGGAATTTAATGCTCATGCTCTTGCAGATGGGCTAGCAAAATTAGGTGCTCTGTTAGAAGATTTGTATCCTGATAAGATTCCTCCTGTATGATCCCTGTTTTTGTTTTACTTTTCTTTTTAATTGTATATTCTCTCTTTTTAATGAAATTAGTTTAGTTACCTTTCTCTCTCAAAAAAAAAAAACACAAAAAGTTTTTCCGGTATCATAAGTTGAACTTAAAAGAACCATTCGACCTAGTGACTGGGTTGCGGGTTGCACACTCAATGCATACAAAACTTTCGGAGGCCATAACTTTGCACTCCGATGTTTGATTGGTTTTTTTTTTTTTGATTTTGGGTAACTTTTCGAGATATATGCGTGCCAAGGCGCCATATTCCGCTATTTTCATGAAAAAACCCTTTTTGACCTCAAATTGCAATTTTTAATATTTTTTATAAATTAAAAAATAAAAAACTGAATTGAAAACATAAGTTAAATAAAAAATAATACATATAGCATATCTAAAATATATTTATACATTATTTATTGCTAAAATATATATTTATACACACTCAATACATATATGTGCTGACATAACACGGTCTAACCATTCGAACCGATCAATTGAATTGGTGACCCATGACCCAGAGGCAAAAACAGTTCAACCTCTGGGTGGTTTTTAAAACATTTCTTTTAGGGTTTTGTTTTCAAAGGCCAAAACTGTTTAGTTTGTGTCATGGTCTACCGGGCTGTTGAAACAAGGTTCAAAGTATCAACACGTATCAGCAAATAAGTATCATTCTGGCACCCTCCGATATGCTCCTACATTGGTTGTATCGGGGGTCTGACTGGTCTAGGGGATGGAGGAGACCTGAACCGGTTGCAAAAAAAAAAAAAAAAAAAAAAAAAAAACGTATAAAAAAAGGGTATTGATTCACCCAATACGCCCATACCGGCGTAACGGGTGTATCGATAGGGCTGCAACTTGGGCCAGGTTGATGATTGGGTTAGGGTTAGGGTTAGGGTTGAAATTCTTGAACCCAACCTTAGTTCGGGTTGGGTTAGGGTTGACCCCTCGGGCAACCCGACCCCCTATAGTACTAGACTACTAATCTTCTAGTCTACTATATATATATATATATATATATATATATTATACACAGGTTTGTTTAGATGCATGATAGTTGTATAGCCCCCCCTACATACTATCATGCCTTTCTTTAAGTTATTCACAGGTAGTTGACTACTTGTCTTTTCCTTTTGTCTTGTAATTTTTATGTGTGACCTATTAAATAGATTCAAATTATTTGCTTGATCCTGTGAATTGTTATTAGTGATTTTATTTCCATAATTTTATGTTTCATTATTGTTGATTTCATGAATTTATATTTTTTAGAAAAAATCTATCATAGGTCATAACTTATGATAAATAAATACTTATTTTTCTACTAAATTTTAAGGGATGGGAAGGTCGGGTTGGGCCCAACCCGAAGTTAACCTCGGGTTGGGTTAGGGTTGAAGGAATTAGTTAGGGTTAGGGTTGAGTAGGTCGGATTGGGTTAGGGTTAGAGTTGGGGGATTGGAACATAGGGTTGGGTTAGGGTTGGCCTCAACCCGACCTAACCCAGCCCGACTTACAGCCCTACGTATCGATATTTTGAACCTTTCAACCAGTGGAAAAGGCTATATTTGAAACTTTCAGATTTTAGGGTTTTTCTGTCCTTCCACATGCTCATCTTTGGGTCTTTTGGCCTACCTGTTACGAAACACCATTTTTTTGGTCTCCTAAGCTTCTTGCAGAGCAAAAGATACGCCAAACACCGTCTTAGTAGATAGGAAGAGAAGGGTCTTTTATGTGAATTAAGATATCCTACCCACAAGAACCTATCTCATTGGTTACACAGCCCGCTGAACAGCCAAAGCGTTCAGCGAAACCCTACTCGGTGCAGGTAGGATTCTTGACATTCTTGTGTGTCGGCTGATCTGCACCTGCACGCGGACGCGGACGCGGACGCGAGCGATAATATGACTCCGGATTCTTGACATTCTTGTGTGTCGGCTGATCTGCACCTGCACGCGGACGCGGACGCGAGCGATAATATGACTCCCCTTTCCAGTCCACATGGCTCTTTTTTAGCCCTTTATTCCTCTCCTCAAAGATCAAGCCGTCCAAATTCACTCACAAAGTGTGCTCGCGTCGAGAGAACCATATGTCTGAGTGTGGAAAACTGCAAACGTCACGCGCCCTTTACAACGAATAATAATCCTCCACGTGTAGAAGCAGTTACTCCACCTTTCCGTTTTCGTTCACTATTTAAATTCCATCCCAACTCCCCAAGTTCCCGGACGTTTCTTCACTGCTGAGATTTCTTCAATCTGTAGATAAATCAAAATTACTTGGAGTGGATTTCAACATCCCGCAATGGAGGTCTCCGGTGTGCTCTTCCAGTCCCCTCAGAGCATTACCGGCGCTGGATTGGATTCTCACCCTTCCAAAATCTGTTTTTCCAGTCTTTCAGTCGGTGCCGGAAAGAGGCTTTCCGGCGAGCTTCGGATTGTAGGTTCTCGAGATTCTACCATCTCTCTAAGGCCCAGAAAGCCTTTGGGATCTTCGAGTTCTGGGTTTTCGGATAATGGGCATCTGCAGTATTACGTCTCGCCGAGATGTGCTAGAAATAAAAGGGAGAAGGTGAAGAAGAAGGAGAAGGACTCGGAGATGGCTACGATAAAGAGGAAGCTAAAGTTGATTAAAGGGTTATCTAAGAACTTGTCGATGTTTTCTCAGATGGATTTTCTGGAATTTGGCGATGATTCGGTCAAGGGTGACGAACGAAAGAAGATCTCGGTAAGGTTCAACTTTTGTCTTTTTCAGTTATATAGGAAAAGCTTTACATGAATTTGGGTTTATTGTGGGGATAATAGAATAGAATATGTATAAAATTTATATATATATATATATATATAGTGAGTTTAACCTATCGTTCTGATATTTTCTTTGTTTGATTTTGGTTGTTTGCATGATTAATTGGTCGTTGCTTCTTTCATGTAACTGAATTCCGTTCCGAGTGGGTAGTGGTGAAGCAGGGTTGCTTACCAATAAAATGTAGATAAATCGTTAATGTGTTAACTGACTATTGTAGAGGAGTTGTTAAAAATCTCTATATGGCTTTGTAAAACTCTTTATTGTGTAACTGTAAACAATTGGGTTCAACCCAGTTATCTAATAATTAAAAGAAAGAAAAAAAAATCGAGAACTCTGTTTTTGGTCTCAATCTTAATCAGAACCTACAAATAGAAGTAAATAACTGGGCGAACGGATATGCATTGTCACCTCAATGAGCTTTAAGTTAATGTGATATTTACGTTTCAAAAACATCAAATAATCCATAGATTGATCTTCAAACAGGATGCAGCTGAGGTTTTAATGGCGCAACTGGAACACTTGAGAACAGAAGAGGAGGAACTAAAGAGCAAGAAGAAAGAGGAGAAGGCACGGATGAAAGCAGCAGCAGGTATGGAAGTCCGGGGTAAAAGCGAATCATCCTCAAGCTCCTCCTCTGAATCAAGTGATAGTGACTGCGGACAGGTGGTCAGTATGAGCTCTTTGAGGAAGAGGACGCAATCAGAGCCACAAATAACAATTCAAACAGAAAAACCGATAATAAGCCTTGACCTTCCGATCCAAGAGCAAAGAACCATGGATGGGAATAATGGAGTTGAGAGTTTGAGCAGTGGAGAAGCATGGTGTAGCAGCAAAACTGGTAGTTTGAACTCATCGGGTTGTCGAGATAATGGTAGCAGAGCAGAGAAAATAGAGGTTTGCATGGGCAGTAAATGCAAGAAATCAGGAGCTGGGGCAGTGTTAGAGGAATTTGAGAGAAGGATTGACGTAGAGGGTGCTGTTGTGGGATGCAAGTGCATGGGTAAGTGCAGAAATGGTCCTAATGTGCGGGTTTTCAGTTCATATTGCAGCAGTGTGAAGTATACTAATACTAGCGATGATGTATCTGTTAGTGTTACAACTCCGGCTAACCACCCTCTTTGCCTTGGAGTGGGCATAGAGGATGTTGATGTAATTTTGGCCAACTTTCTGATTTCTGATGGCAGCAGCAGCTTGAACGTACTCAGCGCTTCCTCTGTATTTTGAATTTTGATTTTGAGATGGATTTCGAGCTTTTTAATTTTTTATATTCATTCTACGAGGTTTTGGCTTTTATGTGTCATACATAGTTTTATGTTGGAAAATATTCATATATGGAAGAATTGGAAAAAAAAATCATACATTCTAAATTGAGGAACTGGTTATCTATTGCATTATTTGCATAGAAAGAGGCAAAGAACATGGTTTTATTTTACTAGACTCGACTTAACATGGTGTCCAGCAGTAAGAAGAGTTTGGTTTGCTTCTCGTCTTTCCATTCGAACGGGTTTACATGATGATTTGGAATTAGAAGATTGGTTCTCTCATTGGTGGAAATTGGAAGATCCTTCAAATCCATCTAAATTCTCTATTTTTGCTGTTTGTGCTGTTATAATGTGGTATATATGGAAAGATAGATGCAAATCAGTAATGGAGCATGCATCTTTTGATCCATTGATCCATTGAAGGTGGTAATTTCTGCTCATGCTCATATTGATACTGTGTTGCAATATTCAGACTTTACCTATAATGAAGATGGAAGAAACACACTCTTTAATTCCTTTTGGATCAAGCCGAATTTTCCTTCAGTAAAGATCAATTTCGATGGGGCATTGAATAGTAGTGTTGGTGGAGTTGGTATTTTAATCCGTGATCACTACGGTGAATTCTGCTATGGTAGATCGATAAAAATTCCCACAGTATCTCTTTGCAGATCTTACTAGCCTTCAATTTGCCTTTAGAGGTTGGAGTTTCTTCAATCGTTATCGAGGGAGACTGTCAAGTGGTAATCAAGAGTTTGTTGGAGGAGAATTATGACCCTCCATGGCGCATAGGCTCTCTTATTGCAGATTGCAAGCACAAAGCTGCTCGCATTCTTGCTAAAAACAGGCTTTAAAGGCTTTGTTTATTTCCAGAATGTATACTTGGGACTTGCCCCGAATTTACTGTTAGACACTTCACTTTTTTATTGTACTGAGCATTATTAATCAAATCTGAGGCTCATGCACTCTGCATAGCCTCGTTTGCCTTTGAAAAAAAAAAAAAAAAAAGCATCGAGATCAAATCAACCCCCCACAACGTCCCACAATACATCTCCGCCGTGTATTGAGAATATCTTCTCATGATAATACTCGAAATGATGATGATATCATCATCATCAGGAGATGTTCTCAATACATAGCGGGATGCGTGTGGGACGTTGGGAGGCTGATTTGAAATTCAAAAGCATCAGTTTCTGCTGTAGGCTTTATCCAAACAAAAACATATGGGTTTGTGAATTTGAAGATGGGCCATAGTTTTTAAGTAAGCATACTAGTGAGCTGCATATTGAGGGACCTGCTTTGGACCTAGGCCCTCGACAATCACAGATTTGCTATTATGGTTGAGACCTATTCAAATTATCTGGGCGGCTGGACCTTTTTCTGCTTGAAAAATGAAGGAGATAAGGTACCAATGGTGCACCAATACGGTACGTGTCGTCATGTATGAGTCTAATCTAATGGCCCCAAATCACAGTCACAGCATGCTACACGGGGTCAAGTTAATCCACTACGAAAGTAGACTCCTCCTTTTCCTAATTTAAAATGGGAATAAAATGGAAAAATGGGAAAACGATTCAGCCAAGCAGCGCATTATCTACCAAAGAAAGAAAAAAAAAAAAGTAATGAAGACATTTATTTCAAAAAATAAATAAATAATGGTCTCAGGGGTAAGGCGTAAAAAAAAGGGTTTTTACTATTCAGTCTACTCCGAGAAATCTTAGTTTTATCATAGGTGGGGTCAAGGTTCAAAAAATAGTTATGTATTGGCCTGTATCGGTTGATACGTATTGTATGGGGACCTTCCCGATACGCCCCTACAGGGGTTGTATCGGGTCAGGGCCTGATTCAGAAGGTAGCCAGGACTTAAACCAGCCCCTCTGAACCAAAATCAGAAAAAAAATAAGTAGAACTAAAATAAAAGTGAAACCAAAATCGGCTAGTATCGATACTTTGAATCTTGGGTTGGATGAATCTTGACCACGAACCGATGCTAAATTCATGGGCAGGAAGCAATTTATAAAGGGGCTATTAATAGATTAAGAGGACTGTAATTTTATAATTTTGAGGTGGAGTACAGTCTATTTATTCCAAAAAAAAAGATATAAACTTTAGGATAAAATACAAAAACCTTTTCTGAGGTTTCTGACAATCATAAAAACCTTCCCTCGAGTTTCACTTTAGCAAAAACCTCCCCAAAACTTTTGAAAAACTCAACATAAACCTCCCCTCCGTCACTGTCCCATATGGAAAACGTTTGTTTGATGCATTAGTTTTCTTAAATGCCCATTTTACCCTTTTTGTATACGATGTCACATAAAATGAAATAAACTTTAAATTGAGTAACCCATTTGCTGCCCTTTTTTCTCCCTAAAACTCTGACGAGTTCAAATTCATGCCTCCTTTTTTTCTCCCTGAAGCTGCATTGGCGATAGATGGTTCATGATACGACGTTGATGGGGATCGAGAAGACACGAGCACAGAAACTCCATCTTTTAAGCCCAAAAGATATATTAAAAACACAATAGTGCAACGCCTACCGGGTCGTCCTTTTCTCTCTTTCTGCTTTCTGAACTTAGAATAAATTACTGTTTAGAACAAAGATAAACCTTAACATAGGCTATATTTTATATTATGTGCCTTACCTGAAACTTCACCAAGTTCAGACATATGCCATGGAGATGGTATACAAACCCGTTACGGTAAAAGCAAGTAGTTCTTATTGTTGATAAATCAATTTGGTAGAGAGCACTCCATTTTTTTTACCTCAACCATGTCCACTAGTTCATTGGAAATCCAACAATTAATACACACTTATAATGCTTATACAGAGAAATATGGACAACAGATGTCAGATCTCGTATTCACTTTCAATCCAAGCACTAGAATAAGAATAGTCATGAAGAAAGAACTTCACACTCATGCATACACAAAATGCTTTAGATCTGCCACAATTTCCTCAAATACCAAAAGGATTTTGAGGGTATCTTTAGATGAGGAGGAGAACATGGTGGAGTACTTTGATTTTTCATATTCTATAGTTGGCAGCCCATGTAGTAAACAAATTGTAAAAATATACAAAGTGCTATAAAATCATTCACCCGGAATCTTCCATTCTTCTTCTGATATAAGGTCTCAGAGACTGTATAAAAAGCAAGAGAGTTTAGGAAAAACCCAACATTTATCAAAGCCTCATAAACGTCACGTCATTAGGAACAAGAAATCCACGACCTCTTTCTAGGTTTGAAAAAGCTTGCTGAACCTTAAGAATAAACTTGTTAAAAGGAACAAATTCTTCAATGCTCATTGTTCCATTTCTGATCATCTATGGAAAATGTAGAGAGGGAATTCTAGGTTTCCAAATGCTAGAGCTCTCTTGAGCTGAGGGGCAATTAATGATGCTCCTTGTCTTGTCTGAATCAACCAGTTTGAACCACAACTCCTTCAGAACCGTCATGTTCTCCATTTTGTGTGGAAAGAGGAGTGCATTGTGTGCACCCTTCTCCTTGGTTATTTGACAATTTAATTATACGTAATAACCTCTCCAATTTCATTTGCATTAGCTTGAATTCAAGTCATTGTTTATCTAGTAAAATTAAGTGCTTGGATGCACCTCTTATTCAAAGATGGAAAGTTAATATAACACCCATGGAGTACTTTTGGAGGCTGCTAAAACCGACAGCAAGGAATATTTACCTTTTTGTTTTCTTGCTCAGCGAGAGAGAGAGAGAGAGAGAGATTATAAGGCATGCCAAGCCGCATCATGGGGATATCCATCAAAAAGCTTTGCCAAGCTAGGGGCATTTGAATTTAAATCATATGTGAAAGGCCAAAAAGAACTCTCAAAACATTCACTAACACTTGGATCGTGTTTGTTCAATGCTTCAACAGTGTTTTGAAAGCTTAGTTCACTTTGGGTTGGACGGGCTTAGCATTGTTGTTGTCACCAGTAGTTGAAGATCAGAATTTGAATTTGTGGAGAGCTTGAAAACTTCCTCTATTTCATTGCATCTTTTCGAGCTTATTAGTGATGAAGAGACACCAAGTTTGCCCTCAAATGCGTGTTTTAAAGGTTCTTTACTTGGTTGTTAGTTTGAGGCTTTTAATGCGTGTTTTATTTGTAGAGAAATCAATTTCGCTTAGTTTTAGTTTTAGGCTTTTAATGTACAAGGACAACCAATGGAATCACATGACAAATGTTCACCGAGCCTCCCAAAAATTAAGGAAACAAAAAAACAAGTTTTTTCCTTTAAACTTAGCGTCTAAACAAGATTATTCCCACCCTAGCTATACTTTGGTCTTTGGGGATACTGATGCTTAGCGTCTAAACTTATATTTTCAACAAAGACCCCACTCAATTTTTAGATTTCAAGCATTTGTTCCTTCTAATAGTATTCCATAATTTTCAAAGAAAAAAGAAAAAAAATATATCATATGATTGTCGTGCTTGTTAAACATTTTTAAATCTCCAAACTGTTATTTTAGGTCCATTTTATTCTTTCTCTTAAACATTTGTATAAACCCTAATATTTGCTTTTTCTTCCTCACTCAGAGAAGAGTGGGTGCGAAAGAGATGATGTGATTTATCCTGCTCAGTTTTATTCATTTCCGTTACTTGGAAATATCATGGGTCCCCTCCGCCCATATGATTCTTAAAAGGGCATTTTAGTAATTAAGACTTTTTTTTTTTTTTGGTCAATCCTGTTAATAAGGAAGGGCCAAAGTGTTAGTACAAGATTGTTGTTTAGAGGGTCTTTAAATGAAAGTTGTTAAAGTTTAGGGGTTCAAGTATCATTACCACTAAAATACAGGGTAATTTATCTAAAAATTAACAACCAAAAAATAGAAAATTTAGTGGTCGGTGGTAACGGACAAATTTCTTAAAATATCCTTATGATTTAATGAATTGACTAGCTGTATTCTTACTATCCCTACGATTTAGTAATAAATTCGTCCAAGTGAATCTATTTGTTGGCATACAGAGCTATACCAGACTTAAAAAATCAAGTGTGAGTTTACTGGCTGTACCCAGACTTTAATGGATCAAATGCTGAAAGTTGCAAGATTTTCGGGTTCTCTTAACCTGTCAAAATCGCTCGCCCAGGTGAGTCCGTTTGTAGGCATTCAGAACTGTGATACCAGAGCTGTACCAGACTTAAAAGGATAAGAGTGAGTTTGCACCCAAGAATTCTCTCATTTATCTTGAAATTTTGAAGAATATTGAAGGATAAATTTGGTATTTCATTTTTCATTACTGATTAACGATAATATGAATTGTAAAAAAAAAAAAAAAGAAAATAGATAATATGCAAACAATAAAGGTAAAACTAGTCAATTTACTCTAAGAAATTTGCCCAAAGAAGAAGCAAACCTTTTTTCTGTTTTTTCGTACGAAAGCTCAAAGCAAGTTGGAGTTAGAAGAAGACAATCGATTGTTCATTGTTTATTTTGTTTCGATAGGGACACATTTGTCCTATTACGAAAAGTGTAAGGGTATTATCGATCTTTAGAAAGATGTAACTCTACTCGGACGAAAAACACGGTTGCGGTTGTTCACGTGGCAGATGACTTGGACCTACGTGGCTTGATTAAAGCCGTGCGATACTTCATAGATATATCCAACGGTGGCTGCATAACAAAAACGCATGTCGGAAATGCAACAAGTGTGGAAGACCGAATCTGGTCACAGGTCTCCAGGTGCCAGACAGCAGCTCCCCTCCACATCGGATCCACTTGCACACAACCAATACCAAGATGCCACGTATACCATTGTTCGTTGCCCCTCCCCATGCGTTTTCTCCGATATAAAAACCGTTTTGAAAAATCAGCGGTTCTCGTAGAAAATTTCCCGGCGTCGAGTCCAAGCAATGGAACTCTCCGGCGTTCTCCTCCGGCAGGTTCCATGCTTGTCTGGCGCTGGATTTGATAACCAGTCTTTAATATCATCCTCCACCTCTGGTCTGTGCGCAGATGCCGGAAGTTCGTTCTCCGGCAACCTCCGTTTTCCTGGTTCTCGAGATGCCAAGGTTTTTCAGAGAGCTAGAAGGCTTTCAGCCTATTCGGTTTCTGGGTTTTCCAATGATGGTCATTTGCAGTATTATGTATCACCGAGATCAGGCGGGAACAAGAAGGAGAAAAGTTCAGAAATGGCAACAATGAAGAAATCAAAATTGCTCAAAGAATTGTCGAGGGACTTGTTGATGTTTTCTGGAACGGGTTTTGGTTTGGAGGTTGGAAATGGTATTGTTACAGAAGATAACGGGAAAATGATCACGGTAAGATTCCGGATTACAGCTTCTTTCGTGTGTTTCTTTCAACACTGTCATTTGAATTTCCCCTGTTATGGTTTCTTACCATTAGTGGGGATGAGGATGGTATCAAATGAATTGAGCTGTAGATTATAAATATAGCCTCTTCAGTTGTTTTCATCCTCACTCCTAAACTTTGAAAAATGAAATTTTGTTTTGAATGCCGAACTTTGGATTTTGTTATCTTATTTTCAATATTTGAAATAAATCCTGTTGTGCCAATGAAGAAGTGAAAATTTCACCGATAAAATTAAGCTATTTTATTTCTAATTATTGTTTAGATTATTTACGTCTATTTATACATAAGAAGAATACCTTTCGCCAAAATTCCTGAGATGGATTAGTCGACATTTTGATCAATTTTGTCAAGTATCAGCTGTAAGCCTACAAACAGATTGAATTTTCATTCTTAGAAAATTCTAAAGAAAATTTGTTTACCTGAATTCCCAGCTCAGTATATCCATATTTGTTGGTGCATTGGACAGAAACCAATATTTTGTGGAATTTTAAAGACAATTTTTTCCTTCTTTCCCACCTTGTGTTTTATTTATTATTGGGTGAAAGCCTTTGGTGGGAAGTTGATTTCAAGGACATAAGAGAAATTGTCTCTGATTTTGAACTATAATGTTATTATGGGTGTAAGATGGTTTGGTTTTATGAAAATTAATAGAGGTTTAACCAAAAAAAATGAAAACTATAATCAAGTATATTTGTTTTTATTATGAAGGAAGCAGCAGAGGTTTTATTGGCACAACTACAACAATTAAGAGCCAAAGAGAAAGAGATGAAGAAAAAACGGAAGCAAGAGAAAGCCAGGCTAAAAGCCACACAGATGAAAACCAAAACCAGGGCCCAATGCGAATCTTCTGGGAGTTCTTCAGAATCAAGTGACATCGAATGTGGAGAAGTTGTTAGCATGAAGATGAGCCGCCTGAGAGACAGAGCTCTCGTAGAAACAAAACTAGATGCGTCAAAACAGGACACAAGTGCAGTGTTAACTACCCCAAGTTTGCTGATTCAGGAAAATAGAGCAGAGGGAATAGAGAAGATTGAAGACTGCAGCATACAAACTTGCAGCAGGCAAGGATGCTGCAACCAAAAGGATAGTGGTGGTTGTAGCAAAGTTAGCAGTAATGATTACCGCCGAAGTAAGCCGGTAGTTGTTGGGGAGGCATCAACCGAGAGAATTGAAGTTTGCATGGGTGGTAAGTGCAAGAAAATGGGTGCAGAGATGCTGTTGGAAGAATTTGGAAAGAGGGTTGGTGTCGAAGGTGTTGTTGTTGGCTGCAAGTGCATGGGCAAATGCAGGGAAGGTCCTAATATAAGGGTTTTTAATCAATTAGGCACAGAGGAAGTGGATGATGGGCGTCCAAGCAATCCTTTGTGCATTGGTGTAGGCCTGGAGGATGTGGGTATGGTTGTGGCAAATTTCTTTGGGGAAGAGAGAAAGGATCTTGGTCTTGCAACCCGAATGTAAATTACCCTAAACAAATTAAGTAATCAAATGAATTACTTGTTCATTATGTAGTCCTTTGAATTTGTGCAACTTTTCCTCTTTCATGTTCTTTCTTTTGGGTAAAATTTCACTGATTATTTCTTCAATTTCCTTGCATTTTAGGAGTTGTTTTTCACTTAAGCTCTTCCTCTTACAACCCATCTTCGCAGCATTCCATTCCGAATGGAAATAAAATTCATTAACATTACACGAACTGTTTTTTAATGTGCTTCATTGGTATCTTACCACTCAGCAGATGTTAAATACTCGAGTCGAGGACAAATTCCCTGAAGCCCACTTTTGACTCGATCAAAAACACACTCTTCTCGGTCAATCTAGTCCAACAGCCCGAGGCTCCCAATTTACGGCTGCGTTTGATAAGAGTTCAAAAGAAGAGTTAAGTCAAATTTGCACTCCAGTTTGATTTGCAATTATTTGGTAAGAATACCTCTTTCTCTTTGTAATGAAAATAAAAGTAAAATAGGTAACTTTCAGTCTTGGAGTTTGTGTTTATACCATCACAACCAAACACAATACAAATTTTATCAATGAAAAATCAAACCAATTTTGCATTGCATTTTTTACCAAATTTGTGTCTACTTCAGTACATATGCTTTTAACATTTGTTTTGCAACAAAGACCCCCTTGTACTTCTAGATTTTCATCAATTTGCCCTTGCAGTTACCCCCGCCCCCTTTAGATCCTATGGACTAACAACGATAACGCCAAAAACTATGAAAATACCCATTGTAAAGCATGATTTCTTAAGATCAACCACTTCTTGATTGTTTAGTAGCACTTCCCTATAGAGGGCATGAGTCACATTAACTGAACCAATTAGGGGTGGCAACGAGTCGAGCTTTTCACAAGCTGCTCAAGTTCGGCTCGGCTCGGTTTCAGCCGAGTTCAAGCTCGAGCCTACTAGAACTCGACTCGTGAGACTCACGAGCCGGTTCAAATATAATATATATATATATATATAATAAAATTATTATAATTTTTAATTTTTAAATATAAAATAATTATATATATATATAATTTTTATTTTTGTAATAAAATATATAATAAATATTTTTATAAAATATAGAATGAGCCGAGCCGAACCGAACTCAAGCTTATGAACTTTTGACTCGAGCCAAGCTTGAACTCAAGGTTCTGACTCGAACCGAGCTCGAGCTTGAGCCTTGTAGAATAGTCTCGAGCCGAGCTCGGACCTAATACTATTCGGCTCGGCTCAACTCGAATCCACCCCTACTGGCAATGGATTGAATCCAGAAATACATTGCCTTTTTGTCGCAAAATAAGGCTTGGGGCGCTTTCGCTACCCCCCTAAGAAGTACGAACAGGGTGGGTGTTTCTAATTTACACCCCACCCCACCCCCACCCGACAAAAAAAAAAAATCATAATACCTAAAAACCGATAACCAATCATCTGATATTAAAAATTTGGAAAAATCAAAATTCACTGGAGAGGTCTGATTGGTAAAAATTCTTCTAGTATCAATTTTAAGTGTAGCTTACATGTACTATACACGTGCACAAGCAAAGATGAAGATACAAATTACCATAGTATAGATGTATTGATATGTATGTCAATAAATTTAATATTAAGGGCACAAGTTTTTTAAGTCATGATAACTTAAGGGTGCAACTTGGGCGGCCTCAGGTTAGTATGAAATATTTATTATTTTATAAGAGTGATGAAATCTTTAAATCGAGCACCTAACTCACATCCCTATCATAAGTTGACAACTGTGCCCTTACATCCCTATCATAAATACAATGTTAAAACTTAATTGACCTTAACCTTCTTTTTTACTAAAAATAAAAGAAAATAGAAGTTGAACTTTATCGAGAAGTCGGGCCAACCCAAAATCAACCTGACCCCTAGGGTTGGGTGTTCAACAGCTCTGGTACCCAATTTGCACCCCATGCTCCAAGCCCTAAGTTCAGTTGGATAGACGGTTGTAATTTGTGGTTTTGCAGGTTCAACCTTGGCTGCTGAAAACGTCTTTACTCTTTAGGGCTGACAAATCAATCCATTTAGTACTCTCTCTCTCTCTCAAGAACGTTCTCAAACGCAGCTTCAAGCTTAGTGATACAAGTTAAATAATTCGTTACACTATATATTTATATGGATTACAACGTCAAAATTGAGATTGATATAGATTACTTATTTACCTTAATGAGAATCTGAATTAATACCACCCCTCAATCATGGTTCATAATAAGTAGAACTTGCTAGGAAACGAATGAGTAGAAATTAATTGGAAATATAACAACGGAGCAACGTAGAAATAGTTTAATTTTCATGGAACATGAGTAAATTGAGAGAGAGAGAGCATGCCAACGTTTATTTTATTTGTAAAAAAATTATAAGCCCGTCGCATGTCTAAGATCACCGAACTAAAAGACACTCGCTATGTCCCTTGGACTGAATACAACGAATTGCACTTTGGCTTGCGAGAGTGGTTTCCAAAATCATAGGTCCTAGGAAATTACAAGCCATGAGAATAACTTAATCCAAAGAAGGGGGACCATTATTCGCGATAGATGGCTGTAGCACCTCCATCTCTATCAAGCTGCAGAACAGCTGAAAACCGTTAGTTTGAGAAGAATCCCTGAGTCGGTGTTTACAAGTTCAGTGTTTACAAGGTCAATAAGTTCAGTGTTTGATAAGCACAAAAACAACATTCTGGCTCCAATGCAAGATGCAACTATACAAGAATTTATGACAAAACATCCAACATCACTCCAAGACACTGCCCATTCTTAAGACCTCGATTTTCATCTAAAATAGTTGCTACTCCACTGTGGCACAACATTATGGAGTAGAAAAACATTGCATCGCAAAAGTCAAGTCTCTATTTCAACGAAATCCTTTTCTTCTCCCAACATTTTCACTTAGAAATGGGAAACTTAGATAATTTGAACTCTAAAGACAGATATCAAGCACACAAAACGTTCCAACTCCTCACTTGGAAAGCTACAATCAAGGTTAAAAATATCGACACACCCGTGTATTGGCAGGGGCGTATCAGTACTAAAAACTAACCGCATAATGTTTTTTTTTTAGTTTTTTTTTTTCAAAACTTGATTTCTGGAAATGCTTTTTTAGGTCTTTTTTTATTGAAATAAATGGGGGTCCCAAAACACCTGTAAATAGGTATATCGAGACCAAAAGATACATACGAGATACTTTGAACCTGCCTACAATGGGCAACACAAAAGATCAAAGAAATGATACCTGGATCCATGCACCTACTAGTGTACCAGTTTCGGATACAATACTAGATACTGCATGGATTCTAGATGTACTAAAAAAACTGTATATGTTAAATAAGCATATTACATTGGATACCCGTACCAGTATTCATGTCCAGGATTTTATAAAATAAAGAGCCACATCCCCATTTCCCGAATCTGTGTCTGAGGTAGCTTGGAATCATAGATGATGCACAAAAACTGAGGATGGGTTAATTTCTCTATAAAATGTATAGAGAACAAAGTTTTGACCCCAAAAAGAACAACACAAATTGAATTAATTGTTTCAAATTGTGAAAACTTTCCACCCTTTTTACAATGAAATGAGACTTCCTAAAGGCTCAGTTTGAAAAGAGTACAAATACAAACGTGTACAGTACAAATACAAGGTTTTGCACTCTACATGTTTGTATTTGTACTCCTTCCAAACTGAGCCAAAGGGATAAATTGAAACAACAATTCATCTAAATGACATGTCAACAGATCAGTTCTGGGTCGGAGCCAGGTAGAACCGAACCCGGAACCGACCCAGACCCTATAGGCTCTGCAATTCTGGACCTAGAACTAAACCGATCGGTTCTTGGGACAATTGGGTTCAACCCGATGGACCCAGTTTTGATATGTATGCTAATAATACCCCTGCTAAAAAATGCAATAAAAACCCTATAAAAACCTAAAATGCAACAAAAACCCTGCTAAAAATAATAAAAAAACCTGCTAAAAAGGAAACTGATGAAAAACAATAATAACTATATATATAGGTCGGGTCGGGTCCAAATCGGTTCGGGACAAGGTGGACCCGGTTCCGACCCAATAATAATCGGGAACTTTTTTTAAGAACCGGAACCGGCCCATCGGGACAAGTTCTGGAACCAGAACCACCCCAATCGGTTCAGTTCCATCGGGTCTATTGGGTCTGACCCGACCCATTGACAGCCCTAGATCCATCTTTCAACTTCCACATGTTGATATGGCACATAACCTTGGAAAATGTAAATATCATGAAACAGAGCTACCCAACAAGCCTTTTGAGCCACAGACATGGTAGATCACACCATTCCACCTTCATGCTTGAATTTTATAGTCAGACTCTTGCTGTCAATTAATGAGATTGGTTAGAGGTGAGCTGCCCCAGAGCATATTGTTGACCTCTTTCTGCAATGGCAAAAGGAAAGGACTTGAAAGATAAGGAAAATCTACTGGAAAACAGCAACTCCTGCTGTGATGTGGGGTTTGTGGGAAGAAAGGAATACAAGAAAATTTTGAAAACAAAGCCAGTTCCATTGAAGAGTTGGTAAGTATGTATGTATCCTCTATTAGCAATCCACAGGTCCTTACCTATGAAGCTTTCCAAGGCATCTCTTGGAGACCTCAAAAAGAGCCTCCAGGAGATTAAATTCTCCACCAGTAGCCAGATCTCTAACTGGCCCATCAGACAGAAACTGGCTTTAGACTCAAGTTCAATGATAGTTCTCTTGGTAACCTTAGGAAGGCAGGTATAGGTGGTGTCTTCTTCAAGAGGGATGGGAATATTTGTTGGGCTTGCAGTGGGCCCATAGGGGTTGCAGTGGGCCCATAGGACTTTCTTAATGGAGTTAAGAAATACCAAACAGGCCTGTCTCCCCTAGCTATAGAAGGGGACTCAAAGAACACTGTTAATTGGATGGTATTGACGCATTTTTCAGTCTGCAGGAAGCTCAACAGACCAAAAAAATGGTCTTTTCCCATTTGGTATTGTGTAGACCAAAAGACCTGAAGATGAGTAAATGGAAAGACCAAAAAAGCCAAAAATCGGGAAGCTAAGCTTTTGGTCTTTCTGCACTGAAATAGCCTTCCTAGCCATTTTTAACAGCCCGGTAGACCATGATGCAAACCAAACAGTCTTGGTCTTTAAAGACAAGACCGCAAAAGCTCAGTGTGTCTTCTCATCTATTGGGCTGTTGAAAGATATACCTAGAAAGACTTGCCAAACAGCCAGACGGTAATGATGGTGGCAAGGTATTTCCAGAAGTTAAAATTTTCAAAAGCTGGTCAGGAGAGCTACTCCACACCTTAAAATGAATAAAACAATGAAAAACAGACTTCAAGCCCGATCCCCCTAATGCACCACCAACCCGCTTCTCAAACTAGTAGTACCATCCTACAAAACTGAACCTCAAACAGCAATTTCAACCACTTCCAACCCCCGCATCAAACTTGGACTTGGTTACTTGGCTTTTGAAGAATCTACTACTGCAAGCTTACACCCTCTCTTGTTAACATTTTTTTATTTTCTTCACCTTTTTGGCAGGCCCCACACCAAACACACTTCCTCTCAATCTTGCAAAAGCTTTCAAAAGCCCCTTGATGCTGACTGATTAAGACTGGAAGAACTGTTTTTAGCCTCACGGAGAGAACCTTAGCAATAATCTTATACAAGCTAATCACTAAACTTGAGCAAAGACCAAGTAATATAGGCAGGATCTACGTGAACACATTCATCTTGTTTCCAGAATTTCCTTATCCTGTGGGAATTTATCCAAGAAAAAAAGCAAAATTCATTGGAAGAAGCCTAGCTAGTTTTTAATATTTGTATGGGGAAATTTTCTTTCTTTGAAATTAGTTACAATACATAGACACCCAAGATGGTAAACAACATTTTTAAGCAATGTTAAGCAACAGCAAAAACAATTTAGGATGCTAACAGCTTTAGAACAATTTGAAAAAAAAAAATCTTAGGGATAAATTACTCCAACAAGAGAGAGAGAGAGAGAGATTACTCCAACCACTATATAATTTGTTCATCAATGGCAAGTATAGAAGGGCTGTGAATGGTTGGGATAGTAAAGTCCACTTGAACAAGGTCAGAGCTACAAACCCCTGGAAAGGTATTAATTAACTCTATTTATGATCTGTTTATTGTAGGGGTGATCATTTTCAGCCTAGACTGGCCCAGAAAATTTTGTAACAATCAAGCAGTATCATAAAAGTGGTAACCAATCAAGTATTCATCAAAAATCACCAGGATGAGGGTTGATTGGTCAAAGATCTCCCGGTATCATACCTTTCCAGCATCATAGATTTTTATAGCATATATTTTATGCATCTATCATATGTCATTATACTAGATGACTTAGCCCAAATCCTGGCCTAGACCCAGGCACATATTGAGGCCCAGGGTTCAGCGCGGACCAGACTATAGCCCTTTCCATAGGTGCTAAGCCCAGCCTGGCCCAGGGATCGCCCCTAGTCTTGCTTTCACTAGATACAAAGTGGGGAATGGGGACACAATTTAGTTTTGGACTGACCTTTGGTGGGGTGAGAGACCTATCGTTGAAACTTACCCTCATAATCTTACCTTGAACCAGGAAGCCACTATCTCCTCTTGCCTTATCACTTAACCCAAAGGACCTCATGAAACCTTAGCCTTAGAAGACCCCTTGGGGAAGCTGGGTTTTCTGAAATTGTGGACCTCCTTGACTCCTTGAGAGAGATTTACATTTCCCCTTCATCCCTTGACCATGTATTTGGAGCATCCACCCTGTTGTGAAGATCTCATCTAACTCCTTTAGAGCACTTTTTTCAGATTCTAAAATCTGCAGGGTCCCCATTTAAGAAGATTTGACATCTCACTATTCCCTCAGGAGTGTCATTTTTCATGTGGGAGCCTTGCTTGGGCAGAATAAACATGTGTGATCTAATCCAAAGAAAAAGCCATGACAGATTGTGCTCCTCATCAATGCACCATGTGCTTCTAAGGAGAGTAAGCTGAATATCACTCAATCACCAGATACGAGACATCCATAGTTGGGTTGGGTTGCTTCTGTGGAAATGGCAAGCAAGAGGTCTTGCAGTGGTTTAAAAGGTACACCCGTTTGAAAAAACATGCACCTTGTGCCTCAGCTCAGGCATGTGCCTCGGTTAAATACTTAAATTTTGTGCCTTTTTGAAGCATGGTGGCTGGGCCAGGGGCTCCTCCCCCAGACCCCATGTTGCCCATTCATTCTTCTTAATACACTACATTTTTTAAAAGAACAGTGAACTATAATTAAAATTATAAAACCATTTTTGTACAGATTAAGAATTTAAGATCCTAATATTGACTTGCTTGGCCTTGACTCAAGGGGCTTGGTACGAAGGCAGCTTGTAGAATTATACATTAGCTATTTGAAATAATGCGATTGAGAAAGAAATAAAGAGATTTAAAGTTTGACATGATTGCATATGTTTTATGTGTTATGCTGATGTATTTTAATTTGAGCTAATAAATTTTTTAAGACATTTAGTTTAAAATTAATGTTTGCATTTTTAATTAATATTTTCTATGAAAGGTAATTAAGAAAATTTTAT